AGTGTGCATGCTCGTGCGTGTGTTGTATAGCACGAGCCCGCAACCGTTTCGGCCCTGGATTGCGGCAGGGTCCTTGAGTCAGACAGAACGCGCTGTGAGAATGAGATTCTCTTTCATAGTCCGTGTTGTATTCATTGCCGTCAAAGACTTCGTGGGCTTTGATAAGTTCATATTGGTAGCGGAGCCTGTCGATCACTCGGCAGGCTCGTCGGCGCCCTCCATACTCAGTGGACCACTCGAGATCGACGGCCACTACTCCACAGCAGGCGGCTTCGTCCCCAGCTACGACTCGGAATCGACCTCTAGCGAGGTCCAGGGCAACAATTATAGCGGCGAGTACGAGCAGCAGTACACCTCCTGCGACAGCGACGGCGACCTCTACGCAGCAAAGGCTAGCATCATGGCGAAAGCAGGCGGCAGAGGAACTGATGACCAGCAGGCGATACTACCATAACGCGGAGTTCACAGTTCGATGGCACACTGTCGAGGTGGAAGGAGTACGAGAAGCGGGCGACTATGTTCATAGCGAAGCTTACCTTGGAGAAGAAGGAGGGCGAAGCGGCTCTCATGTTATCGGCCGGGCTGACGGGTGAAGCCTGGGATGAAGTCGAGGACCTCACGGCGGACGACCTGATCAAGCCTGGCGCGGCTACAGCGCTGCTCACACGCTTACGGAAGCGATTCAAGATGGACACGCGGACGGAGTTGGCAGATGACTTTGAGGAGTATTTCTACAAGTTACGACGTAATCGAGCAGAGACACTGTTCAGCTACATATCAAGAGTTCGGGGGGCAGAGCGGCAGCTCAAGACGCACGGCATCGAGTTGCCATCTAAGGTTCGTGGATGGCTGATCCTACGACGAGGCGGTTACAGTTCGGACCAGAAGGCAGTCATCATGTCCATCGTGGGCAAGGATATCACGCAGGACAGAGTGATCGAGGCGCTGGAGGCGACATTCGGACAGGAGAGCACGGTATACGAGCCTAATCATGCACGGAAGCAGTACCACGTGGACGACGAGATAGGAGAGTACTGCGAAGAAGATGCTTACTATGGCCAAGACGACGAACTAGAGTTCGACGACGGCTACGAGCAGGAGTACTGGGCCGAGGACGGCGACGAGAGCTGGTACGACTGCGAGGAGGCCTACTATCAGCGGGACACGGCGCCGATGCAGGACTTCGACGTATCGGAGTACGACGAGGTCTACGCGGCCTACCACGACGCTCGCAAGCGTTTCAATGACTTGAAGCTTGCACGAGGCTACTACCCGGTAGTGGCGATGGTACCAGGCGCGACGGGATCATCAGCATCGGCAGCACCAAGGCGCCCTCCGAGCAAGGGCGGAGCAAAAGGACGCGGACGATCGAGGAGCTGGTAAGAGGGGCAGCCCAGGACGGAAGGGCTCACCACACTCGGCACCATCTCGCCCATTCAATCCATATACGAGGCCAAGACCCACGGAGAGGGCGGATGCAGCTACGAGGCCAGCGCCATCCAAAGCGACTTGTCTACGATGTGGCGGAGTCGGACACTGGGCGAAGGACTGCCCAGAACCACCGAAGAAGCGGCCCCATGGACAGATGGATCAAGAGATGATGGTGGACGAAGTCTACTGGGACGACCGCAAGACGGCCAGCATCATTCCCGCACAATTGGCGATCCTGGACGGCGGCGCGACTACGCTTATGTCGGGTTCGGAGACTATCAAGGAATACCTGACCACATGCCACGCCAGGGGCTACCCGATCGAGACGCTGGAGTTTCACACGTGTCGGAGGCCATTCCGTTTCGGCAATGGCAAGGTGGAGCACGCACTGTGGTGCGGTGTCGTTCCAGCGAGCTTCAAGAGCAAGACGGGGACCCTGTACATCTACCTTGTTCCAGGGAAGACGCCAATACTCTTCCCGCGGCCCCTACTGGAGAAGTTTGCAATGCAGGTCGACTTTGCGAATCAGCAGCTGGCGTGGAACGGCGGCAGCTACGAGGAGGCGCGCACGTCTCCGCAAGGCCACTACATGGTGGATCTGCTTGAGGACATGGACGACCAGACGAAGGACGTTCAGCTGGACTTCGAGTACGAGCCAGTCGATTTCAAGGAGTTCATGGACGGCGATAGGACCATCAGCGGCCTGGAGCTTCTAGATGAAATCTACAAGGTCGACAATAGCAGCAGCGACGACGGGGAACAGTGGGAAGTTGCACCGCAGCAGGCGCACCCAGAAGGATGCCCGCAACGAGTCGTGAAGGTCAACTGCTGTGGCGAGTATGTGAAGCAGTATCGGTGCCAAAATCATGCTTCCTGCGGCGACCTTTGCTTCACAACGACGCCGATCCAGCCAGTCGACCCGAACCTGCCAGTGCCATGCTGGTGCCTGGCGGACGCCTACAGCGACGTGACGCAGCTCACCGAGCAGGACACGTACAGCAGCGACGATGGCGACAAGAGGCAGGTCACGACCAACTTCATTCAGAAGATCGACTCGGCGATCAAGCACGCGAGCGACCAGTGCATGCAGACGATGCGGCGGGCAGCGGCAAAGCGCTGCACTACGCGACGGAAGGTCTGGGAGGTCTATGCAGGCGAAGCTAGGCTATCTCAGAGTCTACGCGACCTTGGAGCGGATGTCGAGACGTTCGGACTACACACGGGCTGGGACTTCGCGAAGGCCGAACACCGAGAGCGGTTCAAGCGCAAGCTACACGAAGAACAGCCAGACGAAGTACACCTCTCCCCGATGTGTGGACCTTGGTCCAACATGCAGGAGCTAAACATTCACCAACACCCAGGTTGGAAGGAGTATCTTATTGAGCTACGTGACTGGCATCATCGGACACACCTGCAATTCGTGGCGGACGTCTACCACATCCAGTGTGAAGGTGGACGTCATGCTCACGTGGAACATCCAGCCACATCGAGGGCTTGGCAGACCAAAGCCTGGTCCAATCTACCGGGCTACAAAGCGACCTTCGACCAGTGCATGTACGGTCTCACCCTACCAGGGAACGACGATCAGCCGGTCAAGAAGCCCACCACCATCAGGACCACCAAGAAGCTCATGGCGGCTATCATGAGCACGCGATGCGACAGGTGTCATCAGCACGCAGTACTGGAGGGCAACGTGGACGGCAGTGGCGTCAAGCGCACGAAGGTCACGGAGGACTACCCGTTCATCTTGGCAGCCACCCTGGCACAAGTTATGGTGGAGGCCGAGGTCGAGGAGATCTACAACGGCGAAGACGTCAGCAGCGGCAGCAACCCCACCCCGACGGACGAGACGGCGAAGGAGGAGGTTGTCCACGTGCACTCGCACTTACGCGAGAAATACGGCACCGAGGCGTTGCGCTACGTCAAGCGGCTACACCGGAACATGGGACATCCCAACCCGACGGTACTACATCGGTTACTACAGCAAGCAGGAGCTCAGGAGAACGTGCTCAACTGCGCGTCTGAGTATCGCTGCGAGCACTGTATGCAGCGGCAGCGCCCGCCTAAGGCACCCACAGCGTCAGCCAAGCAGCCGACGAAGTTCAACGAGACCGTCTACACCGACGTGTTCTGGGTCAAGACAGTGACAGGCAAGAAGGCCATCCTGTCGATGGTGGACGGTGCTACCAGGTACTGTGCCCTACGGACAATCAAGACGGAGACGGCCGACGAACTGATCAGGGCGGTCGAGCGCGGCTGGATCAGGCAGTTCGGTCCCATGGGCGAGCTACGCACCGACGACGGCTCAGGCTTCGCGTCGGACAAGTTCACGCAGTTTCTGGAACAACATAGTATCAGTATTGTGATCGCAGCAGGCGAGGCTCACTCGAGTCTCGGAGTGGTGGAGCGACGTCATCAGGTGGTTCGAGAGGCGATCGAGCTCTACTGCCAGGACGCCATTGAGCGCACGGCCAACACGGTGCTCGACGAGAAACTGATCACCGAGGCGTGCATCTATGTGCCCCACCAGGTCAACCGACTGGCGTTCACAAAAGGGTACTCACCATGCCAGTGGGTTCCGGGCATGGATCCCACTACGACGATGACCAACTCCAGCGACAAGTTCTCGCCAGCGACCATGTACCAGATGAAGGAGGACGAGGACTTCAAGGACGTGCTGGAAAAGGAGGTCTATGGCGGCGTTAGCTTTCATGAAGGCGGGCGCCTCAGCCAAACTTCGACGCGCACTCCTACGACGGCACGTGGCGCTCAAGCACGATTTGTCCATCGGCCAGCGGTGTTACTACTGGCGCGAGGGCAAGACTAACAAGCTGATCAAGAACAAGTGGAAGGGCCCCGCAGTCGTAGTGTTCAAGGAGATGCGCCAGGACGAGAGTGGACCACGCATCTACTGGATCGTTCACGGCACACAGCTACAACGGTGTGCACCTGAGCACGTTCGGCCAGAAGTGAGTGATCAAGGGTGCGTTCTTCTCGAGAACCTGACCCAGGCCAAGGATACACTGGGCAGCATGCGGAGGACGGGCGTGACACAGCACCATGACTCCAGCTCACAGCAAACCCCATTCGACGCACCGGGCGACTCGGACATGGACGTCGACAACGACGCGGAGGACGGAGACGGAGACGAAGGTCCAGCATCCAAGCGACGTCGAGGAGGAGGTCCTGATTCGAGGGCGTCCCCCGTGGCGGAGGTACCTACAGAGGAATCGTCATCTGGGTCAGCGGCGGCAGCAGCCACGGCAACACCAGAGGTACCACCAGCTACAGCAGCTCCAGCGGAGGATCTTCCTGACGCGGAGGCGCTGGTACCCGACGGCAGTCGACAGACGTCTAACTCTGGTCAGCCAGACCAGGAGCCGACGCCGACAACACCCCCACCAGAGCAAGAGCAGCCAGCAGCTCAACCGACAGCACAGCCAACGCAGACAGCGCAGCCAGCAGCCTCATCGTCATCAGCGGTGGCAGCACCATCATCGGAGCAGGAGCTCGGATCGACACAGACGCGGTCGAGGCCTATATCAAATCTTCAGAAAGAGCGGCTCAGGATGGACAAAGCGGAGGCGGCGATGTTCACCAGACCTGGAGGCGGAGTCTTCAGAGGCACTCTACCCGACCCTGGACTGAGCAGCGCGGTGCCAGTACCGGACCTCGACGATGCTGACGACGAACTTGCAGCTCTACAGTTTATGGTCACCAGTCAGGATTTGCCATTCGGCTGGGAGTTCGACGGCACGGATGCAAAGCTCAGTGACATTTTCGTGGACATCAGCACGAGGAACATGACGCCCCACGAGCGCGCGGCGTTCATGCAGGGCAAGCGGAAGGAGCTGACGGAGTTCTTCGGCAATGACGTCCGGGAGTTTCACAAGCCCACCGGGGAGGAGGACCCTCGGCGGATACTCAAGGCGAAGTGGGTGCTCAAGTGGACAAAGAACGACGACGGCACACCACGTGCCAAGGCGCGGCTGGAACTGCAAGGTTTCAACGACCCCGACGCACTATGACGCACTCAGTGGCGCGGTGCCGACGGCATCACCTACAGCCTCGAGACTGGCAAGACAGATGGCGCCACTACTGGCGGCTAACAACGGTTGGAGACTATGGACAGCAGACGTAGCTACTGCATTTCTTCAAGGACGACCCCAAGAGCGCGAGTTGTATGCGAAGGTGCCCAAAGACGCGGCAGAACTCATGGGCATCGAGCCGAATATTATTATGAAGCTCATTAAGCCACTGTGCGGCCAGGTGGACGCACCGAGGCGTTGGTGGCTACGTGCGGTGGACGACTTAAAGGCCAGTGGTCTCAAGCAGCATCCTTTGGACCCCTGCACGTTTCTCAGTTTCGATGAGGACGGCAATAATGACGGGTTCATTCTACTCTATGTGGACGACATGCTGGGAGGTGGAGATCGGCGGCCGGGCAGTAACTATAGTCGAGCTATCACCGAGGTAAAAGGAAGGTTCAAGTTCAGGAAGTGGATCGAAGACGTCAAGATGGACTACTGCGGCAGCGACTTGACGCAGACCCCGCACTGGGAGAACCCGAAGTCGAACAGCAGCGAGATTGAAGTGCAGATGGCGACCTACGCGAAGAACCTGAAGCCCATCACGATCGACCAGAAGAGCAGCGACAACACGAGGGAGCTCACAATCAGGGAGAAGCGGCAGCTACGAGGCCTACTCGGAGCTTTGCAGTGGCCAAGCTCTCAAGCTTGTCCTCATCTTTCGGCTTCGGTTAGCATTCACCAAGGGCAATTACCTACGGCAAAGGTGGGCACGGCCAAGGAGGCGGACAAGACACTGCGGTTCTACAAGCAGAACTCGGACGTCGGGCTCAGGATGAAGAAGATCGGCCAGGTAAGCGACATAGTGTCCGTAGCAATGACGGACGCAGCCTGGGGAGTTCGACAGGGCGGGCCCAGTCAAGGTGGCTACGTCATCCTGGCATGCCACAAGAAGATATTCGACGGACACGGGTCCGACTTTAGCGTGATCGACTGGAAGTCCTTCAAGCTACTACGCATGGTACGTTCCTCTCTACATGCGGAGTCACAGGCAGCAGCAGCAGCGGGCATGGATGGCTTGGAATTTGCGAAGAGATCCTGGGCAGCCCTGATCTACGACGGCGTGGACATCACGAAGGATGAAAGCACCCGCATGGCGGGTGAGTCAGCATTAGTCGTGGACGCAAAGGCGCTCTACGACGCGGCCCAAAAGGAGAGCATCACCAACTTCCAGGACAAGCGGACCGGCATCGAGGTGCTAGCGCTGCGCGAGAGGATGGAGGCTACAATGACACGCTGGAGGTGGGTATCTTCAGAGAGACAATACGCGGACGGGCTCACGAAGATCGCGGCGAGACAGCTTCTCGCCGACCGTCTGCGATATGGCAGGCTACAGCTCAAGCGTGACCCGAACTACACGGCGGCCAAGAAGAAGACCAAGGAAGAGCGACAGGAGAGCATAGACCAGACCAGGCCGGTGACATCGGCGGCAACGCGGAAGGCAACGACACCGTTCATGCAGTTGGCAGCGTTCGCAACTAGTTGTTGCAGATCGGCGGCTCACACGGGGTACGACACGAAGAACGAGAACGACGGCTATGGTATTGTGGTTTGGTTTGCCATGTTTTTTTTTCCTTCCATATTTCTTGGATTATGTGGAGCCTATCCTGTTGCATCCTACCTGATCAAGATCAAGGAGGCCGAGCACAAGTACAAGACTGAGTTGGCAGTTCTACGGGCGAAGATTGAAAAGGAAAGGATCGAGAAGGAGAGAGAACCAAAAGGACCATCAAGCGACGAACGCGGCGGCTCGTCGAACGACCTGTACACGGCCAGGACGGTGGGAACGCAGAGCATGACGATATACAAGCTCAGCGGAGACGTATGGAGGTTTCAGCATCAGACCCAAGGGTTTCGCAGAGCAGGCGAGGTGACGACCGAGCCAGAGTTGACAGAAGGTTTTCGAGTTCACAAGTGAGGTTGGTATTCAATACTATTCTGTCCTCGTTCTGCGGCTTTCATTGCTTGCCGCCCGAGAGTTTATGATCGTGGATTTCGTTTGGAGATCCATGTATGATTGTGGATTTCGGTTTGGAGATCCATTTACGTGCAGTGCGACATCTCAGCATTGTTTCTTTAGCGTGGAGTTAGTTACACTTTCTCACGCATTACAACTTTGATTTTCAGTATGTTTATTGCTAATGCATATTAGGAATGTTGATCTGGATGTTCTTAGGTATGTTCATTTGGATTTGTTATATTTCAAAGTGAAGGAAGGCTCCTTTCTGTTTCATTTGTTTTTCACTCTTTCACGGGTGTGAGATATACGCTGTACATCTAGTGTGCATCCTCGTGCGTGTGTGCTGTATAGCACGAGTCCGCAACCGTTTCGGCCCTGGATTGCGGCAGGGCCCTTGAGTCAGACAGAGCGCGCTGTGAGAACGAGATTCTCTTTCATAATCAGTGTTGTATTCACTGCCATCAAAGACTTCGTGGGCTTTGATAAGTTCATATGTGAGGTCAGCACGGCAAGCTCAAGGTCAGTTCAAAACCCCAGCTATGTCCCAAAGCTGGCTTGGGCCAGTTCACACATTTAGATAGACAGACCTTATTGGGGCTAAGATTGCGGCGACAAGCGAGCGTGAAACAAACGCCCTGGCATGTGGAAACCAATCAGACACAGAGCTCCATGGTGGAATCGACGACGGGGGACTTTCACACGGGGCCCCTCGAGATCCTGAGGGTCAATCCCAGAGCAGAGGATCGCAAGGGGCAGGCGGTGCTTGCTGCCGAAGGCACTCAGAGAGTGGCCCTGACGAGTGTCAGACCACGCTGTGATCCATTGCAACTGGGGTCTGAGCTCGGCCTTGCAATCACAATGCGCAACAAGCACGGGCACATTCACGCCGCGCGCCGCTCTGCACACGCGGCCGACGTGCAGCAGGCGAGGCAGGTTGGAAACCCGATTCAATCAGCACGCCCAGGACGCGTCCCCATTGGAGGTCTGCCACCAGAGAGGCTGCCACGACGGCCTCAGGACGATCGCTGGCTATAAATCTGATCTTGAAGCCCGAGGGTCGCAGAGCCCTCCCAATCTCACAGCGGCGTGGCCTCCATGCCGATATTCAACGCGACTGTTCGCAACGGCTCATCGGGTAGCGAGCGCAGCGCAAGCTTTCGCAAGCATCTCCCCGCGCCGACCTTCGCGCTACCTGACGCGGCCCCTGAGAGCACCCATCAGCTCCTTCCAGCCCTTGCTCCCCAGCGCGTGCTCCTCGTAGACTTGCGGGCTCATCTCGATCTTCCAGCCCCCGCGGCGCGTGACCAGGCCCATCTCGGGAGCCCCCTATCGAGACGATCTCTTGTCGAAACTGCGACTCCTCGCCGCGGCTCTGAAAGCGCGGGCGGTCTCGAGACAGCTGAGCCGCCGCGGGGGCGCCCCAGCGGCCCTCCGCCTCGAAGTCCAGCAGCGGGCGCAGAGACTCCCAAGAAGAGCGGTCCATCCAGATCTGGTCGAACTCGTTCACCGCGCGGGTCAACTCCGTCTCGAGTCGGCCGCGAGTCAACCTGCAGCGCCTCAGCAGCCGAATGTCCAGGCCGACGCTTCCGACGCAAGGGCATCGGTACACCTCGCGCCAGTCCGCGACCCCCCCGAGCTGCACCTCGCACGAGTTCTCGGAGGGCACCCCCGCGGCGCGCCGCTCCAGCCCCCCCGGGCCCTACAACTCCGCGTCCTGCTGCGAGAAAGCCCCCCGCCGCCCCAGCCGCCATCGCCGGCCCTGCGCCCCGACGCTCGAGATGCGGTCGGCGCGCTCAGGCCTCGCCTCGAATACGCTCGAAGTGGAGGTCAAACGCCGGGCGCGCAGCCGACCCGCGACGCCGGTGGCGTGCCTTAAGATGCCGAGGAGCTCCGACGTCAGGCCCACAACCGATGGGGGCCAGCTTTAGCGCAAAGGCGCCCTCGAGCCTGAGCGGGGGCGCACTCCCAGCCTCGGCCACGGAGACCGACGCGCGGAGGGCAGCCACGGCCGCCGCGAGGATCACCAAAGCCCGCGCCACCAAGCGATAGGCAGCTGGCGCGACGGCCCTCAGGTGGCCTGCGGAAATCACAGAGTCGCAAGGTAAGAGGCGTAGAACTTGCAAGTCAAGCTTGGGCCAAGACGGCTACGGAGGGATGACGAGACGGAGGCGCTCGCTGATCTTCACGGCACTTCAGCAGGAAGGGGCCTTGGCCAATTTTAACACCGAGGGGCCCCGAGACGGAAGCGTTTGCTTATCTTCCCAGCACTTCGACATGGGCAAGAGCTCGGCCAATTTCAGGGCCAAGGGGGCCGCCGAGGCCCTGAGGACTCGGGCGGATGAATTCAAACATATTCAAAAGACTTCGGTGGGGTGCAATATGAGAATTGGCGTCGGGGCCCCCCTCCCCCCCCCATGTCAGCGAACGAATTAAACGCTTTCAAAGGACCATCAGAGACGGGCCCCTCAGACAAGACTAAAGGCGAATCAAAAGCGACCTCGCCAGGGCCCCGACGGGGACCCACTCACGGCCCCCTGGGGCGGCGGCGCACAAACAAGGCGAGACGGCCAATCCGCAGGGTTTCGCTCCGAGGGCATCCACCTCGCAGTTCCTGGCAGGGCAAAGCGACGCCAGCGCCCTGACAATCAGCAGCAGATTATAATTTCTAATGCGACACCTGCCACAACAAAGGGCGAGGGCGATGCTATCGCGGAACTACAGCTGCCTCATGTTGTAGCCAGGGCAAGTGAGGGGGATGCGATCGGCCCCGGCAAAGAGGGCTCGGGCCTCGGGGGGCATGCTGTTTTCCTCGAAGCTGAAACGCCACCCGCCGCGCACGCGCCAGGCAGACTCGTCCAGATCGACAGCCGAGATTTCTTCGAAATCGGCCATCGCCTCGAGCCCTCGAGGACCAGCCGCTCCCAAGCCCTCGAGGCTCTCTAGTTGCAGGAAATCCCACCCGCCAAGCAACGCGGCATCGCGAGCCCGCTCGTGCTCAGAATGCCTGACACGGCCGTGCCGCGAGACGCGCTCAGGCCCGCGCGCGCAGGCAGACACCGAAGCCCTCCTCGCAAGCGTCGGCGGCGCACGCGACGCCGATCCACTGCAGCTCCCACGAGACCACCAGGGTAACCATGGGCCCCGGGAAGCACTCGAGCTCGCGCCGCACGCTGGGCCAAAGCTCGGCGGGGGCGTAGCATTGAGCTGTCTCTGGCCCTCTGTAGAGGGCCAGAAACATACATTTTCTGGAATAGCTAAAAATGCTGTTTTATAAAAACAACATTTTTTGAACATTGCAAACAATTGTAAAACAGTGTTCGCGCCTTTGGGCTTCAAAAGCGAAGAAGTGCCATGCGCGTTTGGCGAGTGGTGCGCAATCGTTTTTTCGCGCGCGCTGCGCGTTTGGCGAGTGGTGCGCAATCGTTTTTTCGCGCGCGCTGCGCGTTTGGCGAGTGGTGCGCAATCGTTTTTTCGCGCGCGCTGCGCGTTTGAAGAGGCGCGCAATCGCTTTTCGCGCGCGCTGCGCGTTTGGCGAGTGGTGCGCAATCGCTATTCGCGCGCGCTGGCTGGAATTGAACAGGCCGTCGTCCGCTAATGTTAACGAATGGTTCGCGCTGCAGTGGCGCAAGACCACTGGCTCAACGCTATCAATTCACCGCGGGTGCGCGGGGAAGAATTTGCAAACAACCTTCCGCGCGAGGCTGCGATTCAAGTGGCGTCGGCTGGGGAAGCGTTATTTGTTATAGTTCCGCCGCGGTGAAGTTCGACCTGCCCTTAACAACGATGACGTCTCAAGCGAAACACAACCCGCACGTGCCACCACCGCCCTGCCGTCGCGACAGGTAACGCAACAAAGCGAATTAATAACCCCCGAACCGCCTTACTCGCTTACGCGAAACCCCCGTTGCCCCCGCGCAACCCCCACGGCGTGCACGTGGTTTTGGGCGAACGCAAATTGCGCGACCTTTTTCCGTTTTTGTTGGCTCAAAGGATCTGATGGTGTATGATTTCGGAGATTCGTTACTTGTCCGTTATCGGCGGGCCCCCAGGGAGACCCCCGAGGTTCTCCAGGTGCCCAGGACTGCTCCAAAGAGCTACGTGGGACTGCCGAGAACCTGCCCAAGACCCGCCCAGGATGGCGCCTTGAGTCTGGCGCGCGTTCCCTTCGCACCACCCCTCAGGAGGAATAGGAAGAGGAGGGGGGAGAGGAGGAGGAAGAGGAGGAGGAGGAGTAGGAGGAGGGCCCCCCCTCCTCGCACCCCTCTTTCCCCCCAACCTCCCCCTCTTCCCCCTCCTCCTCCTCATCCTCCTCCTCCTTCCCCCCCCCCCCCCTCTGCCGCAGGGCTCGCCAAGGCCGAGGATGGTAAAGCAAAGTGTTCACGCAGAGGCCGCCCGCCTTCTGAGAAGCCCTCCCCCCGCTGTCTACGAAGACGTCAAGAAAACGCAAGGGCGGACGGAGAACGGCGGCGGCAAGCATGTACAACGCGATCCGTGGCCTCGCTCCAACCCTCCACGCCACTACGCCGACCTCACAGGCCATTGGGCGCGTCGTGGTGTCCAAGGGCCCGATGGATCCGCGAGAGCCGCGGCCATTCCCTCCCTGCCCCTCCCCCCACCACGCCACATCAGGCCACGTAGGATGATGAAGCTGCTGATGATGGGATGGGGTGGCGAGGAAAAAATGGAGGAGTAGTAGTCGCAGAGATAGGAACTGGATCAAGAGCAGCAAGGCCAGGGGCGAGAGGAGGAAGATCGAGGAGGGCCTGGGCCTGGGCTGGATGTTCTCGCGACGTGGCCGAAACAGAGGAAGATCGAGGAGGGTCTGGGCTGGATTTTCTCGCGACGAGGAAGATCGAGGAGGGCGCTCCTCGGCCCTAGGCCCTAGGCCCTTGGCCTTAGAACCGCAACGTGGCCTAAACAGACCTTCAGGGTCCATGCTCGCACCAGTCTAAGCAACG